AGCGGGGAATGAAAAAGACACGTCTGTGCAGCAGTGGATTCGAGGTGTGGCAGGGGACGAACACAGGACGAGATCAGGCTGGAAAGACCGGCTGGCTCACCCATGGAGAGCCTCAGATGCAGGGTCAGGGGCTGGACTTCGCTGAGCAGACAGGGAGGAATCAATGGCAGTTTCTGAACAGGGAAGGTCAATGTCTTGCTGGGAGGCAGAAGTTGAGGTGGTAGGGTCATGGTGAAGGCACAAAGGGTAGCAGGTCTGGGCTTCTTGAAGCTGCTTCTCCCTATTCCCAAAGGCCTGGTCAAGGACCTCCATACCCAGTTCACATACGCATGCTACCTTTGCAAATCCAAACACGTCTGATCACAACGTGATTTTGTGGTCACTGATACTTCCTTCCCCTTTCTCACCTAGAGACAAGTTGTGTACACTCTCCCTGCCTGAATCCTAGTAATAGAACCATATTGCTTTAAATTGCTCAAAAAGTTGACAAGGCAAGAGCCAAACTCAAAGAACTTTATATGCAAATTTTATCATAAGGATCCTATGTATAAATCTGGTCTTAATTTTCCTTCACATCACACAAAGGAAGAATTACTTTGATTCTGTTACATGAAGAAATTGCCTTCCGGCAGACTTTTACAGTTCAGGTCTTTCGGCGTTGGAAGCACATCTTTCAGGACTTTAAGAAGTCCCAAACTAGAATTTATGTTGGCAACACTCGATCTTAATTATAGAATTAGGTCATCATGGGGAACTGCTAAAGTACAGCTGTATTTTATTCTTGGAGCTTTAAAAATGTCTTAAATTTAATTTGCTATGAGTACTTTAAATTAAAAAAAAATTCCACTTAGAGTGAATTGCATGTCTAACTGGACATATGTCATATTGTTCTCAATAGCCAACTTTTCTAAATATATTAAATATTTGGTTGCTAAGGAATGTAACTGCTCGAGGTATTCTGAGTTGTGAACACAGAAGTATCTAACTCAGTGGATTTATTCTATTGTGTCGGCAACATGCCAAGTATGCAGGATTAGGAACTAATAAGAAAAGCCTAAAATAACCCCCTACTGTTTCAGAGTGTGAAATTAGCATTTGAACTTTGACTCAAAATGGAGCAAAGTTACAAGATATTATTTCGTAGGACAGTGGGTACAGTCTCACTTGGGTGGAATTGGAGAGCCCTGGGTTGTGTCCCTGGCTTGACCTAGGCTGTCTGAACTTGGGTGAGTCACTTCTATTCTTTATTCTAGTTTCCTTATTTGTAAAATGGAGGTGGTGGTGGAATTAGATGATTCTAAAATACTGAGAAAAGGTATAATCCAAAAATAAGCATCATGATTTCTTCTGTAAAAAGAGGGTTCACATCGATGACGACAGGAAAATGATTCCAACCCATGGGCCACTAACATGTAAAAGGAAGATCTTTAGACTATAATGAAAGAAGAAAAAAAACTAAGATACTTAAGGTAAAAAAAGATCCCATTATTTTTGTTGTTTTGTTTTTGCTTTTGATGAGAGCCAAGAGGATGACGTTCATGGGCTGGGGTTCACTGTGAAGGGGAACCAGCATTCTAACTGTAGCAATGATCTGTAAGAAAAATGCATCACTGGGGTCAAATCCAGAAGTAATTCAAGAGCTGGGAAAATCATTAATTTGAGTGGAGGCCTCACTCAGATGCTGAAGCCCTTTCTCCTGGGATCATGGCTGGACGGCACACATGACTGGCTGAGACCTACACTGAAAGCTGTCCTTCTTGTCATGTTTCCTGTTATTGAATATTAATAAGCCACATGAACATATTTTGGTTGGCTCTCAGGAAACCAATACTGGAGATATGACAGTGACAAGGATCAGGCGTATGCAGAAGATGAACAAGGAAAAAGCTACCCCAAGTTGATTTCAGAAGGATTTCCTGGCATCCCAAGTCCCCTGGACACGGCCTTTTATGACCGGAGGCAGCAGTTAATTTACTTCTTCAAGGAGTCCTTGGTAAGTGGAAGGCTCTGCAGCCTAACACTGCTTCTGTCACCCTTGACTAAGATTTGTCAGACAAGTTCTTAGTTCAATGCTGTTCTCAATTACTTCAGAGCTAAAAACAGCAATGACAGATCATTTAGATGGAAAATTAAGAAGGTCAGGTCTAAAGAATTTGGTGCAAAGTCAGACTTACCTCAGTGATATTAAAATAACAAAAATCGATCATGTTCAGAAAAGCCCATCTTACTGTCTAATTTACTTTGCAGGTATTTGCATTTGATGTCAACAGAAATCAAGTACTTAAGTCTTATCCAATGAAGATTACTGAAGTTTTTCCGGCAATAGTACCACAAAACCACCCTTTCAGAAATATAGATTCAGCTTACTACTCCTACACATACAACTCCGTTTTCTTTTTCAAAGACAATGCATACTGGAAAGTAGTTAATGATAAGGACAAACAACAGAATTCCTGGCTTCCTACTAATGGCTTATTTCCAAAAAAGCCTATTTCAGAGAAGTGGTTCGACATTTGTGATGTCCACATCTCCACATTGAACATGTGATGAGAAAGAGAACGGGAGGCAGTCGCAGGATTTCTCTTCTAAGAGAAAAAAATCTGATTTCTTTTACAAAGAAAACCGGTTTTTTAGTAGCTGAAGTGAATATAGCTCCCTAAGCTAAAACCCAATAGAAAAAGCCTTACTGGAAACTTTAGAAGTACTTGATTTAAAAATCAATTGCTCAGGCAAAAAATAATTTACCAAACGATTTTACTAATTTTTTAGGAAAGGTTAAAAAAAACCAACTAAAACGCGAGCATCTGGGGGGATCCCAGTCTTTGTTTCCGCTCTCTGGGGAGCTCTGCTGCCGCCCCAACACTGCCCGCACCACCCGACCGTGCGCATCGGGAAGGCAGCCAGAGCCACGGGCGAGTTATCAAGGAAGGAGATGCCGCTCTCCACTACATGGCGGTGATTTTACTGAGGGAGTCAATGGGACAGGTCGCAGAACTCAAATTAACTACACTCCAAAATCCCTGTCATAATGATATTTCTCTAATACTTGACAGTGCACAGAAGGTTTTCACACATATTTGTCTGTTGATCTTCACAACTCTGTCAGAGTGGCAGGACAGATACTACTGTGCACATTTCTTGTCCAAGAAACCGAACTTCATTAGTTGTGTCCTTCCAAAAGTCAAACCTAGTGGCAGCCCTGGGCCCCATCTCCGCATTCCCGCCCAGTGCCCTCTGCACTTTCTTTCTGTCCCTGTGGTGGTCTCCAGCCCTGCCACCAGAGGTGTCCTCTTGTTTGAATGCACAGACCTGCATCCCAGATGGTCCTGCAGAGAACAGTTTTTCTGGCTATTATTCATTTAGTGTTCTCTTCTCTCTGCAAAGCAGTAAACACTCTATATGAAGCTAGTTGGATAATTTTATTTTTCCAGTGTCAGTTATATTTAGGATAGGCATTATGTTCTTTTAACTTTTACATAATAGAGCTATTAACTCTTTTTTTTTTTTCTCTGAGGTGGAGTCTAGCTCTGTCACCTGGGCTAGAGTACCATGGCGTCAGCCTAGCGCACAGCAACCTCAAACTCCTGTGCTCAAGCAATTCTCCTGCCTCAGCCTCCCGAATAGCTGGGACTATAGGCCTGTGCCACCACACTCAGATAATTTTTCTATTTTTAGTAGAGACGGGGGTCTCACTCTTGCTCAAGCTGGTCTCGAACTCCTTACCTCAAGCAATCCTCCCGCCTTGCCCTTGCTAGGACTACAGGTGTGAGCCACTGCCCCAAGCCAGAGCTATGAACTCTTAACCTAAACAAAACCAAACAAAAACCCCAATGTCATATGTAACGATGTGGGCAAAATTTGGGCAATGAAATATTCTAAAAAAGATTCAGTAGCCTCAATGATAAGGCCACAAACACTACATTTCTTCTAAAAGAACAGCTAAAACACAGGTATTTTAAGAAGCTTTAATCTAAATTAAAATCAGCAAATTCAAATGTGTTTTATTTTTCTTCCCTGTAGGATCTTCCATGTTTTTGCTTTGACAAAGGAAGATAGCGAGAATTTATATTTTCTTGCCTAAAAACAAATTTTCCCCTTTACTGAAAGGCTGTTCAGCTAAGGAGAGGGGCTGGGAGATAAGATAAGCAACTCTAATACCCTAACCCCAGCTCATTTCTACTAAGTAGGAAAATCCTTTTTTCATTCATTAACCCAAAATATGATACAATCAATGGAAGTGTCCAGGTTGAACTAGCAGAGTAAAGACAGTTTTATCCTGTGTGTGCACTTGCTGCGAGCAGAAACGGAATGACAGCAGCCCTGAAATGAGACAGTACTGATTTTATACAACTGCTTTCTATGATTTGAGCAAAATTTTAAATGCTTCAGTGATTAATTTTTGCAAACAGATGCAAATCTGTCCCAAGGACAATGCAAACTAAATAAACAAGGAAGTAGACAAATGGCAAGAGAGAATTCTGTCAAGCTATGATGGATGTTAACTTATTGTCAATGAAAACACCTGAAAATCTGTGTAAGACAAAGCAGTTTGTGAAAATGCAGCTTAAAATCAGTTTATTTCAGACAGTTCCTGGTGTGCAGGAGGGGCTGCTGGCCATCAGGGAGGCCTGCACAATGGCAGCATCCCGAGCACACCTGCCCCAGTCCAGGCCAGCAGACCTGCCTGCAGCAGGGGCACACATAGACCTCACCCCACCCTGTTAGAGTCTGTCTGCTTTTCCCTTGAAATTGAGAGTTACTAATTATGAAGGACAAATACAGCCTTGTACACTGTAGGCATTAAAAAAAGAGTATGTTTGTATGCAACTGGACAAGAGCCGCGTAGCGGCAGCCAGTAATAAGTAAAATATTCTAGTGAGAACTCAGTCAATGGCAGAATTTTACTTTTAATGTTTTGAGCTTTACTTTGTAAAGTTTATTAATCAGACTGAGTTCGAATCAAAACTCAATGTGAAGAATGCAAAATGGAAAAATACAAAGACATTTTAAATAAATAATTTATTCAAAATAGTTTTCTTACCTTATTCACAGTTTCAAGTTTAAAATAAAAAAAAGGGTAGTACCTATTCCTGATCATCATATAAAGTCAAAGGAAAGTGAACCCCTCGGAACATGCATTAAATACAGCGAATTGCACAACAGTTCGTCTTTGAAAACTCCTGCACCGAAGCTTAAGAAGGGCACACTTTTTTCCTGTGCAACTTAGAGGAAAACATTGTAGATGTACAGGAAGTTTCTTTAACCCACTTGAACCTTTAAAATCATTTGGATAAAAGTTCTCTTGAACAAAGTAACATCTTATCCAAAATAATCATACCTTAAACCCATGTAGCTTAACATACTTCAAAAATATTTACAAGTGTAATTGCATCACAGCAAGTCTATTGATATTGAGGTACTATATGCTTCCCAAAGAAATAAATGCTGGAAGGTTTAAGTTTGATTCTGATTTTAGCACTTCAAATGAAGAAGACAAAAAACTCAACCATAATTCATCTGTTGTAGGAAATGATAATTCTGTGTTTTCACTGCTGTACCTGTTTGAAATGGATATTTCTCTCGTATTTAATGAATGAAGCACCGAATGGACAAACCAGCTCCTGTGTTCAGAAGGCACTGACAGCGAGTCCGCGGGCGGCCCTGTGCTTGGGTCACTGAACAGCGCTGCTGCCCCCGCGGGCAAGCTGGCCCAGCAGGTGGATGATAATCTCCGTTCTCTCCAGAAGAGTTGCATTTTTGTTTGCAGTACCTCTCAAAAGCTGGGAGTAAACTTGCTTGTTGCTTTTGAGGACTACATCTTCTTCAATGTTACTGCTGGGGTTAAAAAAAAAAAAAGACAGTTAAAGGGAACTTCGATGTCCACCAATAGTTCAGAGATCCAAAAAAACCAACAAGAATAGCCCAGGAGTCACTTTTCAGAGAAGCGGGTGTTCCATTACTGCCTGTTTCACATCTACCTTCTTATACCTACTGCCCATGGGCCTGTTTTTAGACATTTATTTCAATACATCGATTAAAACCAATGCCCATTCCTTTTATAAATATTTGAGTGCCTACTATGTACCAGGAACTGCTCTTGGCAGTCAACAAAACAGACCAAAAAAGCCCCTGCCTTTGTGGAATTTGCATTCTACTGAGGTAGGAGTTGGGGGCGGGGGCTCTGGGGGAAGACATACAATAAACAATTAAGGAAACAGAAGTGTCAGATGAACATGCCGGGAAGAAAATATAGCAGAGACCAGCTAGGGCAGAGGGAGCCTCACGCAGTGCTAGTAAGTACACATCTGCAGCAGCTGTCAGGCTGCAGAGCTGGAACTCCCTTGGACTTCAAGCACAGACTTCTGACTGACAGGAACTGCTGCACCTCAGTTTACTCTAAATGTGTCAGTGCGCCTTCTGTGCGAGAATGCCCCTCAGCTGAAGAGCACTATACAGTACTCCATCTAAAAACTGTTTAAGTTGGCCGGGCACGGTGGCTCACGCCTGTAATCCTAGCTCTCTGGGAGGCCGAGGCGGGCGGATTGTTTGAGCTCAGGAGTTCGAGACCAGCCTGAGCAAGAGCGAGACCCCGTCCCTACTAAAAATAGAAAGAAATTAATCAGACAGCTAAAAATATATAGAAAAAATTTAGCGGGGCATGGTGGCGCATGCCTGTAGTCGCAGCTACTCGGGAGGCTGAGGCAGTAGGATCGCTTGAGCCCAGGAGTTTGAGGTTGCTGTGAGCTAGGATGATGCCACGGCACTCTAGCCCAGGCAACACAGTGAGACTCTGTTCTCGGGGGAAAAAAAAAAAAAAACTGTTTAAGTTTACAGTTTGTTCTGAAAATATTTACCCCTTATGATGGATGAACTTATTATACTTACGTTACTCCTGGAAAAGACCAGTAATTACGTGGCAGTATGTGGCAGTTCACCATATGTAACACAGACCCCTGGCTCATACAACCAGATAATAGCTATGATGCCAGGACTCTTTATAGTGTACATGACCACACCTGAGCCTTACAATAACCCTGTCCCCTCACATAGGCAAGACTAGCATTTTTATTTTGTAGATGTAAAAGCTAAGGCCCAGAAGGGTCAATAATTCAGATCAAGATCAAAATGTCATGCTTTCCAATTTCAAATGCTACGCTCTTTTTCCTCTCTGGTGTGCAAATTCTCTCCCTCATCCAGGTGCCCGCCAGTTAGGCTCGCCAGCGAGCACCAGGCAGCGCAGCTTTCTCCTCCCTCAGCTCAGGGCTCTGGCTGTAAGGAACCCCCCTTTCCTTCCTTCATGGTTCCATTTCTCCTCTGCAGGACCCACCTGCCCTGTGTTCAGAGACCTATTCCCCCTCCCTTCTTTTATCACGCAAATCTCCTCCTCTATTCCCCCAATGCCAGCCACAGTACAGTAAACTGATTGTTCGAAATGCATTCACTACCTGCAATCTGGGCCTAAGCTTGGCTGTTTTATTTCTGGAGAGAGTTAACATTCACAACACCTTTAATAAATTTAAATTACTCTTTGACAGTAAGCAAGGCAATAGCATTTAACAATTAGAAAAAGTGTCTGAAATATGAATTATTTTCTATGGACAATGATATCACATTGTCATTTTAGTTGGGTGCCTAAAGGTAATTGATGGCTGCTAGAATCATGTATTTTAAACCCTTCAATTTGTTCTGATCATACTTCTGAATCATAAATTTTCATCTTCCAATTTCTACAAATCATGCCCTTCCTTAATCTACACTCATCAATAGTTTCATTGAACTATGACCCCTATTCAGAGGGCTCCATCATTTCATAGGGTTTTCTTTTTACCAAAGGTAACTTACATTCTTTAATTTTCCTTTTCACTAATCTTAACCAAATATCAAATGTACATATCTGGCTGGGAACAACCCATAAATCTGAAGGATTTGTTCTCAGCAATGCAGCAGAGAACTTCCTGAATCTCCGGAGATTACTTCTACTTTTTATAGTTTTCCATTATATTGACCACCCCAAAGCCACCAAAGTGTCAAGAGGCCCAAATCTGCTACGGCAATGAGTATTATACAGTATATGAGTAAATAAATTCTTAATCCAAAAAGGAAAAAAAAATCCCAACCTAACAAACAAAACTAACATTTCTAGAAGTACAATTGCAATGTGGTTGTCATATGAAGTACTTGCATACTCTGAAAATGAAAAAAAATTTTTGAACAAATTAAATGCATCTTAATTTTCTTAGATTCTACTGCAATTTTATAGGAATGCAAGAAAATTAAGATTTTAATTATTAAGCCCTATTTATTCCATTTTTTTTTTTTTTGCTCTGGAGAAGAAGGGGAAAACAGCAGTCAAAACAAAAACTCAACTTATTAATACAGTTGTACCTCAGTATCCACGGATTGGCCCAGGAACCCCCAGGATACCAAAACCTGAGGTTGCTTCAGTCCCTGATATAAAATGTAGTATCTGCATGTAATCTATGCATATCCTCCTGTATAAATTATCTCTAGATTATTTATAATAGATACCTAACACAATGTAAATGCTATGTAAATAGTTGTTATACCGTATTGCTTTTATGTTTGTATTTTTTTTTTTTTTTTTTT